TGTGTGTGCGCGCGCGTGCCGGGGGGGCAGTCGGTGCCGGGCGGGGGGGAGCCGGGCCAGCCCCGCGCGAGCCGCACTCTCTATTGTGACGCACTTACTACGAGCGGTCGCTGCTGCCAAGCTCCGGCAGACTTGCTGCGCTCAGCACATTGGGAGAACAATGGGGCGGGCAGGGCGCGGGCCGGGAGCTGCACAATCAGTGCAGGCGCCGCGCCGCGTCCCAGCCTTTTGTCCCGTGGCGGGGGGGTCCGAGCGCGCGGCTGCCCGATTCCCAGCTCCGGCCGGGGCGGACTCGGAGCGCCGGGGTCTGGCTGAGGAATTGCTCTTGGAGCCTGACTCGCTTTTGTTCAGACAAAGCCTTTCTGCGAGTTACTCTTTGGACGCAGGTATCCTGGGGGGTGGAAACAGCGTCCAGGGAACTACCGCCTGAGATTCTTAAAGAGCTAGAGGGATGCAAGTTGGAAGCACATGCAGCACTACTAGCACTCTGAGAAACCCCACAGGAGGGTGGCGAGAGCTTATTGCCAAACGTATTGAACATTGCGGTAGTGTAATAAAGCCTGGAGAGCTGAATCACAATCTCCTCCTCTTTATTTGCAGGAAAAGGCGACCAAATGGCAAAGCAACCTTCTGATCTGAATTCAGAGTGCGACGGAGAAGGTGGACAGTTTCAGTCAATTGAAAGGCCAAGTCAGCCTCAGCATCTTAGACCTGGGGCCCCTACCTCTATACAAACACAGTACCAAGGTAATCATTCAGGTGAGGGGGACAGCTCATCGCCCAGCAGCCCTCAGGGACCATTTGCACCACCCACTAGCCCCAGTCCATTTGCTACCAGATCCCCACTTTTCATCTTTGTACGAAGATCCTCACTGCTGTCTAGATCCTCCAGTGGGTATTTCTCTTTCGACACAGACAGGAGCCCTGTGCCTATGAGTTGCGACAAGTCGACGCAGACTCCAAGTCCCCCTTGTCAAGCCTTTAATCATTATCTAAGTGCAATGGGTAAGCAAGATCATGGTAAGAAACCTTTTAGCTCATGGTTTATAGTTTTTCAATAGGTTATGAATTCTCCTGTGGACATTGTATTTCTTTCAGAATCTCAATATGAATATTTGAGGCAGCCAGCAAATTTTTCAGTAAGAACAAAATACTATATATACAGTGACATCCGGCTGAGCCACTGAATAAGTCAAATTGAAAACTGCCTTATGTGTTATGAACTGATGGGGTGAGATTTTAAATCTAGTGAACATTTTCCTAAAGAACAGGAAAGTGATCCAGGGATCCCTCCTGACTTTGGTTATCATAGCACATGGAATGTGTTCTGGTAAACTACGTATTTTGGATCGTTTAAACTGGATACAAAGTCTATAAGGGGCCAGTTTTGTTTGTTTGAAATAACTTGTGACGTCACCATGGAGATTTGTCTGTCCAAGTAATGAAGTTGTGATGGGGGAAGGGTAAATGTAGAGGCCGCATTGCTTAGTAATAAACATAATCTTGGTCTCAAACACTGGAACAGAGTACTAGGATATGAGAGATGTTTCCTTTACTACAGATTCTTAGCTGTTTCCTGAAGATCCTGCTAATCAGAATATTTGGTGGAAGGAGGCAGGAGAAGAAAGTATCTACAAAACTAGCTCTAGTTTCTCTTGTCTCTTATATTTTGGAGTTTAAAATTTATCTGTAAATATCCATTTTGGTCTGGAATTTGCTAGTCTGAACAGCTATTCTTTTTTCACACATGAAGGGAATCAGGTTTTAAAAATATATTGTACATTTTTTTTAATTTCAAACATGTTTCTGAAATGTCATTTTGATACAGTTTGTAACTTTATGCTCAAGTAATGTTTTAGTAGACCCTCTTCACAAAAACATGTGTAAGAGTACTAGACTAATGTGGTTAGTGTGCTTGCACAGTATTTATTAAAAATACAACAAAAATCTTAAAATTTTAGTTAAAAACTACAGGGATGAGTCAGGAGGCTTGAAGGGTCTTTATGTATGTCAGTCCGGAAAGTGCCTGTTGATATGACATTTGAGCACAGTGTCCCATTTGGCTGGGTTTTCTAAGAAGACTCTTTGCAATGGTTGCTTGGCAGATCATGAATCTGAAGTTTGGCCACAGGAGTCTGTAGAAGGCGGGAGAGTCGGGTGTGAGACTCTGAGTTACTCCCATTAAGGGTGGAGCAAAGATTACTAGACGTATGCATTTTTCCAAGTGAGAGACTTTCCTTGCTGCAGTAGGAATTCAGAGGATCATCTCTCTTTCCCGTCCTCTTTTGAAGTTTTTTTTCCTAGAGTCTGCCTTCTGGTTAGGGAAGAGTGGCAAGGATTACTTTGGATCCTGTCGATACTGCTCCTTAATCTGTCACAAGGGTTGTTCTGGAGTGCCTGTTACTTATGAGAAGCTATATGGAGTGAGGATTTATTTTTCAAAGCCAACTAGAGGGTTTAGCAGTAGCTTTCAAACATTTAATAGGCATTTCCTAATTAAAGGTCTTAGACAGTTTTGAAAGTCTCACCTTAGTGTTGTGGATTTGGGTGGTGGTTATGTTGTGGTGGGTTTTTTTTTTGTTTTTTGTAACGTGTCCTAGGGACCAGCTTGAGACTGCAAAACTAGTCTTGTGACTAGGTAAGGTTTGAATCCACATCTCCAGAAGTGGAAACTACACTCTTGTAGTAAGCAGCTTGCAGTATCTGTCCCGCTTTCCCTGTATCCAAGAGGAAGATAGATGAAGCTAAATTAAGTTAGAAAACTATTTGAAAGAAACCAGTACTTATGTTCATATGTTCAACTCTCAGTGGAAATGGGGAACATCTAGTCGTGGCAATAGTTTGTTTGTTTGTATTGATAACACTCTTTTGTGTGTCATGCTCAAAACATTTTGATAGTTCGTAGTTGTACCTCCCAGCTGTAACCACTTACACTATTCCCTTAGGAGGTATTTTCTGGAGTTGCAGTAATTGCAGCTTAATGTAAGTTTCACAATCTTACTGAGAGAGCATAAGTGGTATTACTAGACAAAAGGAACTAGAGTTCTTGAAATAAACATTGCTTACAACACATGTAAAGCTAAACTTTAGCAGTGAACAACATTATTTGATATTCAAGGCAAACACCTCAAGTCCTGTCCATAATTTCAGAAAAGTATTATATTTTTCACCCATGTAAAATGTTCTTTGAAAACTATGTATATGGTTTTTACTAATATCTTTCTTATGCTGTTGTTACTGTGAGTACTATCCTAAACATTAAATGTCAGAAACTGAGTAGAAATTGCTGAGGGAATTTAAATAGGAACACTGGCCATTTTCAAACATGATTAGAATAGAAATGTGAAGTTGTAAAGACATTTTATTCTAACTCAGGACTGTGCTTTCCAATGAGGGACTTACTGGCTGGTTTTCTTGTTGTAGAGAGAAGAGATGATAATCTCTGAAATGTTACCAAGAGAGTCTGAACCTGCAGTCCCTGTAAAGACAAAAGTTCCACTTGACTTGAGATTTGTACTCCTATAGGAATTGTAGAATTGAATCCTTACAATCTGGAATGCCTGACTTTTCAGCTCATTTTCAAAGTTTCATAACTTAATACAGTGGAATTGAGGAGAAAGAGGGTGGTCTGAGTTAAATCAAAGCAATTTAAATCAGATATTGAAATAATTATTTAAATCATCAAATGGAAAGCCTCACTTAAAATCAATGTAATCAACTTTTCCATTTGTACTTCAATTATATTCTAAAGAAAGGTGTGTTTTCATTGATGTAACCACTAAAACATGTTCATATAACCATTTTAACATAACTAAATAGTCTTCACACTCAATTTGGCACGTTGATTAGCTTCCTAGGAAGATACACTATAACTGTATTTATTTAAGCAGTTGTTTAGGTTAATATTGTCATATTCTTATTAACTGTATATTTTTAGTACAAAAATGTTGAATGGTTGTTTATTTATTACTAAATTGTGCCATATTTATAAAGTTTGACCTCACAAGATGGAAGTTTTCCCTTGATTTTTTTTTTAATTTAGAAAAGAAGCCTTTAAGTCAGAATTTTTGATAGAGGTTCACGTTCAACATATTAATTTTTTGATTTAAATTTTAAGAAATTATAATAAGTTTAGGCCTTAGCACATGTTGTATTGAATTCAGACTTAATTTTAAACAGGTTGGTATTTGAAAAGAAAAAGTCAATATAATTAAAATAACAATTTTAAAAAATATATATTTGTTAAATTCACTTCCCACATCATTGAATTTTATCCACACGGATGAGACATAGTTTTATATATTCCAGGGCCAGAAGGGATCATTGTGAGAACTTGCCCCAAATAATTTCTGGAGCAAATCTTTTAGAAAAAATCCCATTTTGATTTAAAAATAGTCAGTGATGGAGAATCCACCAGGACTCTTACTAAATTGTTTTGATGGTTAATTACTCAATGTTAGATTTTTAACACCTTATTTCTAATCTGAATTTGTGTAGTCTGAACTTCCAACCAACGTTCCCTTAATTTTTTCCATCCACGTGTAGCATAATTTTTAAGTTCACCAAGGCTTTTGTGAATGTGCACCATCAGAGGGAACAAGACCTAACTGAGGACACTCTGCTAATTAGCTGGACAACATTTGAATCTTTCCTGAGCAGCCGCAAAAGCAGACAGCTTTCAGGGAACCCCGCTTCCAACCATTGGATCATGTTGTACCTTTCCCTGTTGAGGAGCAGTGGGCGCTGTCCGGGGTTCTCTGCTCGGTGTCCCCATCCGGCTCCCTTATTTTGAACCTCTAGCCCGCACTTCTTGATCCTTTAGTCATTATTTGTCCCAAGAAATCAATTGAACATGGGTCCAGTGTCCCTCCCATAAGGTTGGGGAGGGGCTTTTAGAAGGCTTTTAGAACCATCCCATGATTTCAAATAGGCCTTTCCCTGCTAGACTGAAGAGCCCACGATTAAATATTTGTTTCCTATGTAGATATTTATAGACTATCATTGTCATCTCTTAACCTTCTCTTGGTTAAGCTAAATAGATTAGACTCCTTGAGAATATCACCTATAAGGCATGTTTTCTTATTCTTTAATCATTCTGATGGTTCTTGAAGTCGTCTCTGACTGATCTACATCCTTCTTGAATTGAATATATTCTTGACTGTCAGGCCAGTGGCAAGAATCAGAAGAAATGAAATACAGGTTGAGGGTACAACTGAATGATCCTGTCAGTATGGGTCAGGCCTTGGGTAGTTTGTGCTATGTATATACTCACAAGCAAAAACCATTGAGATTGACAGTGAATTTCCACTGAGTTTAGCTAGTGCTTGACAACAGTACTATTTTTCGTAGCACTTGCACTTCTTTTAAAAACAAACTCTCTCCTCCCCCCCCCATGTTCAAATGACTGAGCAGCTAATCCTTGATTGCTCATCATCGTTGCATACCTACCTAACTTCAGCTTTGCTTTGTTGCCATGGCAATATGCTGTTGGATATGTGTTGTTAGGTTTCTATATTGTATGTAGTAAGGATTTTGAAAGGGGAACCCAGAGTCCTGTAAAGTACATTACATTGTATCCATGTTCTAGAAATTCTCACTGTAATGTGTTGGTGAACAAATGTTTGTGTGAATTATCTTTTTGGTGTTATAAAAGTCTTGTACGTTCTGGTTTATGTAAGTATTTGTAGTCCTGCAAAAATGCAAACATGTGTTTTTAATTTTGAACTCACAAATAGTCCCATTGAAGACAGTGGAATTACTCGCCTTGAGTTAAATTAAGCATGTGCATAAATCTTAAAGGACTATGACCTAAAATTATATAGACCAACATTATTGTCCTTAACTGTGCTATATTGGTACTGACAGCAACACAAACATGTTGGGAATTGATCCCTGGAATAGGGAAACGAATGGGGTTTTTTTGGGGAAGTTTTCATATATTTGGGGGAACACTTCTAAACACTTTTCTCTACATATTTCAGTGTGGAGTTTGTTATAAAGCTGTTTGTTTTCTTCCACCAAGATAAAAGTATGCAAAGCAGTGGAAATCACATTAGAACATGCTATACTCCACAGCCTGTGGTATCTGAAAATCCCCATACTTGATGCAAGCTCTTCTCCCACCCCATTATGTCTCCTGTCCCCGGTGCACTTCCTATGCTGGAGGTTGCTGGCAGTCTTCAGAAAGCAGTCCCAGGCATCTTCCACAATTCAATGTGCCTAGGAAATACCAACCGGCAAGTTCTGGAGAGTCTCCACAGCCCCTTCCCCTGTGTACAGGGACCAGAGTGGCATGAGGTTCACATCCCATTGATCTCCCCCTCCCCCCTTTCTGGACTTCTTCCTCTTCCCTCCCCCAATGTTCTTACATGTTAGGAAAGTATTGTATAAAATTGAGAGAGGCACGATGTGGATGGTTGTGCTAGCTACCTACATTTCCCAGGTGCTGTTGGGCACTTTGTTTTAAGCCCAGTGTGTTAGTAATTTGAGGAAGAGATGTCTAACAGTAATAGATCGTCTCATACCTTTTGTATTTTCTGTTCGTAGCTTTGTTGGGGGGTAATACACTTACAAACAGGCTGTGATGATGTACCAAGCAAACTGATTCAGAGAATGACTCAGTAATATTGCTTTGTTTTCTTCATTGATGGACATTCTGTATATTGGCAAACTTTGAGTACAATTTGAATACAGACTGACTGGATCAGTGCCGCCAGCTATAGCCAGAATAGGCTCAGCATGTTGACATCCAACACCTAGCCAACTGCCCAAGCAGTGAAACAGAACTTTGTAATGCACGGTTGAAAACTGCAGTTAAATCTCATGGCAGCATGGTCAGGCCCCTTAGGTTGTGACAAACAGGCTTTTTTTCACATCCGCCAAGGATGCAGTTTGGTATCACACATGCTTGTATCTAGGCTGAAGTTTATTATACAGAAGCCATCCCTGTTTGCTGCCACTCTACTTTATGATGGAAGAAATGTTTGCAAGTATTGCAGGACAATACAAAATGTTCCACACCTTGATTTGCTGTGAATGGAGATTAGACAGTCTGGTATCCCAAATGGACAGATTTTCATGTTCTTTATATGGTTGTGGTCTCTGCATGGCTGTATCTGTTTTAATGTCTCATGTACAGCTGAGGATATGGGGAGGAATAGAGCTCTAAAGAATATGTATGTAATTGAGAAGTTGGGCAATGAATGTGAAGGGACTCCAAAGTTCCAGCCTTTCACAGGGAAGAAATTATTGAGGTTCTGTTTACAACCTGAAATTTAAGGTGATGAGCATTGCCACTGGCTCCTGTGTAAATGGAAATAGGAGTTCTTAAAATTGTAAAACAAAGGTCAAAGCATTATTTTTCATTTTAAAACTTTCAAAAGAGTTCCTGAAACAAGATCTGTAACAATCCTTAGGCAGCAAGACTCTTGAGTGAGAACAGTTGTGAAATTACAAGCTGTAACTAAGTCATGGCACCAGGATAGTTAATAAGGATTTTATGCAAGAAGGTTGTATATTCCAGCAAGTGAATAATGAAGATGTAGAGAAGATGATGGCTAGGAGTGGGTGTAGAAAGGAATACTTGGATTATATAACTGAAGGTGTCTAAGTAATGGGGGAACAGGAGGGAAACAAGGTTTTGTGGTTTTGGACTTCACAGATGTGAAACTAAATCTAAAAAAAAAAAAAAAAGTCGGTAACACCTTAGAAACAAACACAAAATGTAGGTGGTGGTATGAGCTTTCGTGGGCACAACCCACTTCTTCAAAGGAATGGAGTTAAGGGGTTCAGGTTGAAAAATAAATAGCAGAGAAAGAGAGGTGATGGGGAGGGAAAGAAGAAAAACATTGTCTATTAGAGTGTCTGTGTGAAATAAATGAAGCTGATAGAGTGGGTTCTAATTACTCGGTGCTTGGCTTTTTACGTCATTAGGATGTAGCAGGTGATCCAGTTAAGATCTTTGTTTAAATCTGTATTGTAGGTATCAAACTTGTAAATTAAACTAAGTTCTGCAGCTTCCTTTTCAAGCTGGTTTTTGAAATTGGCTTGTAATAATATGGCAACTTTGAGATCCGTTAATGAGTCCCAGGCAAATTAAAATGTTCCCCAACAGACTTTTGTGCATTACCATTTTGAATATCTGATTGTGTCTGTCATGATTGAGGGTTAGCCAGCAGCCTGGGGATTAAGGGGTTAACTACACCTAGCCAGGTGGAGTGACCAATAAGAATGTAGGTGGGACTTTTCAAACTGGGACAAAGGAATTTGGGTTTTTTTCCTTTCTCTTTTTGTCTCTCTGGGAGAGTTCTCTGCAGCTACAGAGAGGGACAAGCATGTCTCTCTCTCTCCAAGACACCATGCTTCATTTTCTGTAAGTAGGGTCAAGTTTAGGTAGTTTCGTTAGGTTTTATTGTTTTAAGGATTGGGTATGGGATCTGAGATCTGGCACTGCTTAAAAGATGTTTTGGCTTTTCTTTGTAACTAAGTTCTAGGCCCATGGAGTTTCTCCATGAGTATATTTTGTTACCTTCCTCTCTAGTCATTATACTTGCAACCGGAATGTTGTTGTAATAATAAAAGTTCTTTCTTTTCTTTTTATTAACCTGGCAGTGGTTAATGGTGTGCCCTGATTTTTGTTTTAGGGGTAAGATTTCCCAAATGATCTTTCCCCTGATTTCTTTATCAACATTTGGGTGGTGGCAGCGGAAGTTTTATTCCCAAGATCTAGGGTTTTAAGATCTTGGGGGGAAATTTTATACCAAAACCTGGTAGATAAGGCTTTGGGGTACACTTGCTGGCCCCCACTTCTGCATTTATCATGCCAGAGTGGGGAAGGAGCCATGACAGTGTCCATTAATCCTTTGTCGTAGAGACTGTCCAGTTTGGCCAGTATCCATGGCAGAGGGGCATGGCTGGCACTTGATGGCACAGATCACATTGGTGGATGTGCAGTTATAGGAGCCTCAGTTGTTGGTGGCTTATGTGGTTAGGTCCTGTGATGATGATGTTGATACAGATGGTGGGTTCCTGGATGACCACGATGTAGGTGTGCTGCGTGGTTGCTGGAAAGAATTGGTTTGAGGTTAGGGGGTTGTCTGTAGGTGAGGATTGGCTTGTCCCCCAAGGCCTGTAAAAGTGAGGGGTCATTTTTCAGGGTAGGTTGTAGATTATTAATGATGCGCTGAAGGGGTTTAAGTTGGGGGCTGTAGGTGATGATGAGTGGTGTTCTGTTGTTTTCTCTTTTGGGCCTGTCTTGAAGTAGTTCATGTCTGGGTACTCTTCTGGTTCTGTCGATCTGCTTTTTCACTTCTCCGGGTGGGTATTTCAGTTTTAAGAATGCTCTGTATAGCTCCTGTAGGTGTTTGTCTGTGGGATTGGAGCAAATCCAGTTGTATTTTAGGGCCTGACTATAAACAATGAATTGGGAAATGTTTCTTGGATGGAAGCTAGAGGCATGTGTGGTGGTCGGTAGGTTTCCAGTATAATGTGGTGGAAATGTAATTGTACTGTAGTGTCAAGAAAGTGGATCTCTTGTGGGGACTGTTACAGGCTGAGATTGATGGTGGGATGGAAGTTGTTGAAATCCATGTGGAATTCAAGGGTCTCCTTTCTGTGGGTCCATATGATGAAGATGTCATCAATGTAGTGTAAGTAGAGTAAAGGTGCTAGGGGACGAGAGCAGAGGAAACGTTGTTTGAGGTCAGCCATAAAGACATTGGCATATTGTGGAGCCCTGCGGGTGCCCCCGGCTGTGCTGCTGACTTGAAGGAACAAATTGTTCCCAAATTGGAAAGAGTCA